TAAGAGAAAGTATCTGTCTCAATCTAATAATCATAGGTAAAAACAGTTGAAAAACGCTACCGCATGGACTAATGGACAGCAAAAAGAGGTCTCTGGTATAGTTATAAACTATATTTCGAAAATGCAACATCATTATTGAAAAGTTTTTTTTTCTAGGTCAGCGAAACAGGAATTTACTGCCAAATTAATTATACTTAGTCATGGTCTCATTTCTGGCTAAAATGAAAGTGAAAAAATTAAAAGTACTGTAAAAAAGTGCCATTTTCGTGGTTGCCTTCAAGTTATTTTTATTATTTCAAAATTCCAGAAGTAAGAGACAGCTTATTGGGTATATAGCTGTTGATATCACTTACCTGTTTTTCGTTGCTGTTGTGTTCTGCTGCATGTATCAGACAGAAACAGGGCAGCAGAATAACTGCTACGTGGGCAAACTGAATGATCAGCATCATCCTCTGCATTCAGATTTGAAGAGCGCTCGAACTGAAGTGTAAAAAGGTAAAGTATGAAAATAAGAAAAGACTATACGCCATCTTCTTCATGTACGTGTGACGAGCTGATCGCGACAAAATAAAGCATCTGCTAATGTTTATCTCATTTCAATACATACGATCTTTAGGGATCTAAACTTCTCAGTATAAGAAAAAAAACTAAAAATTTTATATAGGAGTAACCAGTTTACCACTCTCGAAGTCAGTCGCGGACCTTACGTCTCCAGTATGTCTCACATTTCCAACAAACCGTGAGCTCCTTGGGTTTAAAGAACGAACTCAAAAAACAATTGAAAAATTTAACGTTTTTTACAGCCTCTTATAATTAAAGAACCCCTGGGAAACATGAGGCAATTTTAAAAGAATACTGACTTTGAGCAATTTATACCTTTTGGCATAGTGCATTTTTACGGATATTTTTCCATATCTCCAACAATAAGGTGAGTTCGTAACACCAACATGTCAAATACCAAGTTATACTGAAGTATTGACCTCTAGGTATCAGAAGGAAAATATCCACTTGAATACGCTAGACAAGTATCTTTATATCAAGCAACTCGGTAAAAACATAGTAGCCACATAAACAAAGAAAATTGTTTTTAACTAAACATTGATTTAGTGTTTAAACATGTTTCCACAAACAAGACCAAATCAGATATATCAGTGGCAAATAAGGGCTTCAGTGTATACTCGGAAAAAGTAAACTTGACATTCATTTTTAATTCTTCTAGTTTATGCGTTTATTTTTTTTTTATTTGTGTGAATCTATAACCAACCAAAGCTTCGATTTTTTCTTCAGGGTTCTAGAGTAGTAAAGATTGGAAAGCCCTGGATTGGCTATGATCTTACCTTACAGACCGTACTCAGCTTTTGAAAGTAGACGACGCTTCATCCACGGTACGACCCCTTCATTAGGGGTGCCTCAAGTTCGGTCCTAGGCCCCATCTTTACTTACTGTATACATCTCCACTGGGTGATATTGTTCGTGACCATGGCTTGTCATTTCACTTTTATGCTGATGACTCGCAGCTTTATACATCTTTTGCTTGCAATGATACCTCTGATCTAGTGGCTACAAAACAACGTCTTGAGAACTGCGTTGCTGACATCAATTTGTGGATGACCGCCAACAAGTTAAAGCTTAACAATGATAAATCAGAATTTCTCTTTCTGCACTCCCGTTTTCGTCATTCTTTGCCCCCTCCCACGATTTCTGTTGGCATGGAAAACATAGGCCCTCTCAACAGGCTCGCAATCTTGGCGTGATTTTTGACGACACAATGTCACTTTCACCTCATGTTAATACAATAGTTAAGGGTGCCTTCTATCACATACGAAATATTCCTAAAATAAGAAAATACGTCAGTAAAAGTACCACAGAAATTCTAATTCACAGTTTTGTTAGCTCGAAGTTGGAGTTTTGTAACTCTCTTCTGTTTGGTGCCCAAAAACGGGACATAGTTAAGTTGCAGTCCGTTCAGAATGCGGCTGCTCGAATTATCGCCGGTCTCAAAAAACGAGATCACATCACCGAGACTCTAAGAGATCTTCACTGGCTTCCTGTTGAGGAGAGAATTGTTTTTAAAGTAAATTTAATACCTTTTAAAACATTGGATGGCTCCGGTCCCCGTTATCTTGAAGATATTTTAATATTTTACCATCAATCAAGGACGTTACGGTCATCAAGGGATCATTAACGCCTTGAAGAACCAAATTTTAACATGAAAACTTATGGCCAGAGAGCGTTTTCCGTTCCTGCCCCCCGACTATGGAACAAGCTCCCCTTTGAAGTTCGAGCTTGTTCTGATGTTAATCTTTTTAAATCTAAGTTGAAAACGTTTCTTTTTAAAAAGGTATATGACATTTAGTTTCATCATATTTGTTTTTTTTTTCCTTCCCTTTTTAAGATGTGTATGCTATAAATTTCCCAATATGTACAGTAGGGTTATATGTAAGCTTGTGCTTAATGATATTATCATGTCCTTTTTTACACTGTAAGGCGCTTAGAACAGCGATGTATAAGCGCTATGTAAATTCCATTATTATTATTATTATTATTATTAGGAATGTCCCCTTGAACTACGGGCTACGTGACTGAACGGTTCTTGAATGAGCGGTTTAAATTAAAAGTGAATAATATTAGACTAGGGATTTCCTAGTGAATAATAGTAGTCTAGGAACACTTTGAGGTAATTTAAAAAGAATACTACTTTGAGCCATCACGTCCGGGCCGGGTACTCCAGTGGATCCTGGAAGTCCACTTACACCAGGAATACCATTACTACCCGGTTGCCCATCATTGCAGCATATATATGTCTTAATCTAATAATCACAGGTAAAAACAGTTGAAAAAGGACTGCTGCATAGACTGGTTGACTGCAGAGTCAGTTCAGTGATAGCTTTTTTTTGTGTTTCGCCATTTTCTATTGCGATCTTTGTCTCTCGCTCTCTTTTTCCCACCATCTTTCTTTTTTTAAAGTGAGCTTTTTTCCCATTTTATCTCCTTTATTTCGCATTAAATTTTAGCTGGCTACCTTTATAGGAAAGGGACAGTGGCAGTGGATTTTTTTCCTGAAATGTTTGATTTCGTTTTTGTGTCTATTTATGTCAGGATTGGTCGGAATTTCCAAAACGAGGTATCCGGAGAAATATCTGTCCTTGCTGATGTCGTTGCTAGCCAACTTAATAGCTTAAACTGAAGGCTTAATGGCTCCTGGAAAGAAAATATGCATCGTTCCAAATTGAACGAAAACGACTAAAGCGGTCGTTAAAGGGTTTTAGTACAATAGAGTGGTGCTATTACTGTATATACGTTAGACCACAGTGTGAGCCATGCACCTTTTTTCTATTCCACTCCAATCCAGGTCATTGGCTGATGAAGAAGTTGCGCGCGCTAATGGAGAGTACTGTTCGCAACTTTTGTAGCACAGGCTACTTTAACTGACTGTTTCTGGGAACACCGTTTTCTTCTGGCAAAGATAACTTTTGAAAGCTACGAGAACTATCTGTTTTGCAACCTAAATGCAACCCGATCAATTCAACCTTACTCGGGACATCTTTAAGTTCGTATTAAAAAAATTCGCAGAGGAAAACTCCTTTTTGGGTCCTGTTAAATGCAATAGCCTTTAAAGATTCCTAAGGATTCCTTTTAATGGAATTTCATAATAAATCAAGACAATGTTATCTTCTTCCCTCTCTAATCAGAGAGAGAATGCTAAGTTGAAAATGCAACCAAGCGATGTATTTTAGTCCGTAGAAAACAAGCATGCAATGAGAGATCAGCACAAACACAATATTTGAAAGCATCCTGCATTTTCTAATAAATTTTGTTTACACCATTACTTATACTATCACAATCTATATGATCCATCTGCTAGTAACCTATAAAACTATACTCTTGATTAAAGAACTTTTAAAAGTTTTTCATTGCAGGAAGGTATGTTTTGCCTCGACATTTAGGCCTGAGCTTTGGGAACTTCTTCAATGAAGATCCTGGACACAGAAATCCAGCCCGTGTAGGCGTCACCAGGTGATCGTTCTTGACAATTACCAACCCAAAATCCCACGCGCACCGTTCCTTTGTGAATGTTGTTACAATGCCCCTCAATATGGCGGACGCGGAGAATGCTTTGAGTGTTACCTTGCCACATGTACACAACACCGTCAATGGGTAAGGGAGCTGAACACTCTGCGCCGTTGAAAGTGAAGTACCAGCGTTTGCAACAGTCTGTACACTTGTAGATTCTTAGCGCACCAGTCCAGGAAACGTGAAGAGCGGTGTCAGAAAAGTTTTTGGTGAAGAAACAGTCCTAAATATGACGGGAATAAACCCAGAATAATTAAATCGCTTGGGTAAAATAAGATAAAAGCAGAAAAGATAAATGGGGACCAAGAGTTCTTGTAACTTTACCTTTATTAAACCGTTATCTTTGTCATCGTTTAAATCTTTCCAAGCGCACTCTTTCCAGTTCTTAAAGGGCATTAGACCTTGTCCACGCTCTCCTTTTGGACCTGGTGGGCCCCGTACACCAGGCTCTCCTTTAGCACCATCTTTTCCATTTACACCAGCAGGTCCCCGAGGTCCAGTCTTTCCCGGGCTTCCCGGGTCACCTTTCGGTCCTTCTCGGCCGTCACGTCCGTCACGGCCTGGTAACCCGTGCATGCCGGGAATACCACCACAACAGCATGAAAGAGATGCCTGTAACAAGAAAAAAGTCCAAACATTCATTTAATAAATCTCCGATAAACAAATGAATAAATAATAATAATAATAAACAACAATATTGGGATACATATGCTTGCTGTTAATGTTTTTCGTCTCCTACTCCGTTTACTTTTTGATTTTCTTTTTCCTTTCCGTTTCCTAGGTCAGCGAAATAGAAATCTACAACCAAATTAATAAAATTTGAAGACTGCGAGAAAAAAATAGCATATGCTAATTGATACATGGTTTTTATCATTTTGGATTTTTACCGTTGCTTTTGCAAACTTGAATAGGAAGCTGCTCTTCATATTCTAAGCCAAATAACCTGAGATCAGACTCTATTTTCGTTTCGCTTTGAAAATAACATTCGCCGTTAGAGAGAATGTATGAGAACCGCTAAAATTGGGCCTGATCTCAGGTTAAAACCAAAGGAATCAACTGAGACTAATTGAGTTAACGAAAATCTGGGACGTGCTTTATATCCTTGGTCAAGAAATACAATAGAACTCTTTCATAATGGTGGTCCCTTATTTATTCATTCTTTCATATGTATATAAATGAGCCTTCCTGGACATGTTTGAAAGTAAGAATTCTTTAGTATTTTGTACTTGCCAACTAGGTCAGAAGACATACATAAAAAGGAATATATTAGGGGGTCAAACTGGCAGTCATCGATAGTGATTTTCACAGAGGCGATAAAACAATTCTAAATTTCGCAACTGTCTGTTAATATGGTTAAAACAATACTAGGCGGGGTAAATAAAGTCGAGCGCGGTCTTTTCCACTATTCTCCGGATCGGATGAGCCCGATCAAGCCATCGTTGTATGGAGTATATGTGAGTTTTTTTTTGCCGCATCCTGGTCAAAAATTTCTGTGTTGGTTCAAAATCATTTCCCTTAGAAGCGATTGGTATTTGAAGGAAACTTTTAACAGATCGGAGAGGTTAGGAGAGTTCAAGCTTCTCTTGTGACCACTGGAGATGGCCAGCCTTCCTTCGTGACACTGGTTCTAAAGCGAGGCCAATCCAGCCTTAGATCAGTTGGTTTACCTTGCGACACATTAATTCTGGTTTTTATAATGACTTGCTTAATCCTAAGACTCCTTGAAGGCAAGCGCAGTGTTCGATTTTTTTCCTTTAATTTATTTCGCCTCGAACATATTTTCTGCGCCGAAACCTCCTAAATGCCCCCCCCCGGGGGGGGTACTCCCATACATTACCTATACGGGTATGTGCCGCCCAACGGGGTCGTGATTTTGAAGCTCCTGATTTAGAACGGGGTGTCCATTTCAGAGGCGTTTTCTAGAACGAGGTATAAAAAATTGTGGATCACGGCTTTATCTTCTGCTATTGTTGCTGATTATGAAGAAGCATTTATTTGATGTATAAGTCGAACAAGTAAAGAAATATATTTTTTAAAAAAACAGGGCTATTTCAAATTACAAACTTTCTAGAACGGAGTATAAAAAATGGGCCCATTTCTAGAACGGGGTATCAGTTTTAGGGGAATTTTTTTTTTAAGAACGGGGTGCCTATTTCGACTCAGTCCCGGGCGCACATACCCACCCAAAAAATACCCAAGTCCCCCCCGGGCTAAATGCCCGCCAAATTTAATGTAGCGTGCTCGGAAGTAGTCTCCTACACAGCCGTTTTTAGTGTCGTCTCGCAACGCTCCTCACCACTAACTAACCACTTAGTGGGGAGGAGCTTTGCGTGACGACACTAAAAACGGCTGTGTAGGAGACTAGCTCGGAAGGGGTCGTAAATTGTTTAGGAAGAAACAGGCCCAGCACAACTTCCACTGGAGGCAATTTTGTGTTACAAAAAGTACCCTATAATTAAAAGAAGTCGAAAAGCTCTATATTAATTTCGTGCGACATTTACTTGATAAACAATGGAATGTGTTGAAAATTATAGACATCCGTGTTTCACAATACACGTACACACGTGGCGGCCAAATTGCTATTTAATATCTTTGATCTTTATACAACTGTTTTGCTTGTTGCCGACGTTTACATGCTACATCATGATCCAGTGCGATTTATAGTTGTCACTACATGATCAGATCTTTGTTTCAATTAATGAGAAAATTATCTTACAGTTAAATTACTCTTTGCACAACAAGCCAATAATAATTGCGTAGCATTGCATTGTTGCATGCAGTCTCAACACGGAGCTCTGCCCTATGAAAATAATCGTTTTCCAAGTGTCGGATAGGCCAACATGACTCCCACTGGTAGCCCATAAAAAAGGGCTATTCCAAGTATAAACCTCATAAAAGCTTTTGATTTTGATCAACAATGAAACAGATGAAATGAGTTGTAAGTCTCTAAATCTTAGCAGCTTTCTTTTCCTTTTATATAATTTTTTTACGGGGGAATCGAAACTGAAATGAATTTTAGCTGATTCCTTGCGTCTATCGCGGTTTCCCCCTATTTGTTTTTTAATAAAACACCATTGCACGAACGGTCTCTATTATTTTACATGAACAGAGATGTTTACCACCGTTTTCGTTGATACGCGACTTTCGAAAACAAAACACCCGCTGAAACGTTTCCAAAATTTCCGTCAATCATGCATGTTATCGACAGATCGGATCGAAATCCACCAATCACAGCCACTAGTGTGACCTTCTGACCTCGATAACACGCATGATTGACGGAAATTTTGGAAACGTTTCCGCGGGTGTTTTCTTTTCGAAAGTCGCGTATCAACGAAAACGGTGGTAATTCACCGAAAAACAAACTCATGAAATGTACATGTTTCAGGGTATATTCTGTACATGCTTTTATGTTGGGTGTGTAACCAGATTAAAAGTGAGCGATCGGGTGAGTCGCCTTTGCTTAATACAAGAAAACTTTGTAAAACGGGGATAAGTATTAAATGTTTCTTTCTGAAAAAAAACAAAAAAAAAACGAGGCCTTAGGAAAGCTAAAAAGGAAAAAATACTTTTTGGAAAACGTTTTCCCAAATATATTTTTCTTTTGTTTGGGGCTTGCTATAAGATTGTATTTCAACTAGACGCTGTAAGATTGGCAATTGAACGTATTGGGTGATTCAAAACAACGACCAAAGTTCCGTCTGCACGTCCTCTTCTGGGTGAGTAGCCTGAGCAAGCGACGAGGTGTGTCGCCTTCGCTTAATGCAAGGGAACTTGGTATGTATTGGTTATGGCTCGCAAGTCCGTTTTAAACGTAATAAATGGTTTCAATCATAACTAAGGAACATCATATAGTTTGTATTATAAGAAAAATATATGAGCCTTTTTTAAGCCGCGATCTGAAATACAGGAGACTTTACCGTCCTTTTCTCAAAAAAGGGAATAGTCCCGCTTTAAATTCTGCTCCGCAAAAAAAAGTTACTATAAAAATTATTTAAATTTATAGTTAATTTAAATTGTATTAAATTTAAATCGCTGCACTTCGTTCATTTGCGGTAAATAAATGCATATCGACTCTGAGGTATCCCCTGTTTGATAATGTGCAAAACTCCTCTACACCGCCACAAGTTTTCCAACTGATGCACTGTTTCGGAGCGATTTTTTACGGCTATCAGGTTCTTTTCTTAAGTTGTGTTGCCAGATGAAAAACATGATCCGTGGAAAGATATGTCGGATAAAGCTTCATCACTTACCTGTGTTTCGTTGCTGATGTGTTCTGCTGCATATATCAGACAGAAACAGGGCAGCAGAATAACTGCTACGAGGGCAAACTAAATGGTCAACATCATCCTCATTCAGATTTAAAGAGCGCTGGAACTGAAGTGTATAAAAATGGTAAAGTATGAAAATAAGATAGACTACGCCTTCTTCTTCATGTACGTGTGACGAGCTGATCGCGACAAAATAATGTTGATCTCATTTCAATACATACGATATTTAGTGATCTAAATGTCCCAGTATTAGACAAAAAATAAAAATTTTATATAGGAGTAACCAGTTTACCACTTTCGAAGTCAGTCGCAACGTCTCCATGCGGTATGTCTCACATTTCCAGCAGACCGTAATTATAGAACGAACTCGAAAAACAACTTTAAATTTCAGCCTCTAACAAGAACCCCCCCGGGGAACATGAGTTAATTTTAAAAGAATGCTACTTTGAGCCGATTTATACCATTTTGGCATAGTCCATTTTAAGATATTTTTCGATATCTCCAACACTAAGGTAAGTTCGTAACACTAAAATGTCACGTACCAAGTTATACTGAGGTATTAACCTCTTGTTATCAGGAGGAAAAAATTCACGTGAATACGTACGCTGGACAAGTACCTTTATATCAAGCAACTGAAGACATAGTAGCTATATAAATAAAGAAAATTCTTTTTAATTAAACATTGTATTAATATTTAAACATGTTTCCAAAAACAAGACCAAATCAATTACTATATGGCAAATAAGGGCTTTATACATACACGAAAAGTATAAACTTGACATTTATATATTAATTAAAATTCTAGTTTATACGTTTATTTATTTCATTTGTCTGAATCCTATAACCAACTAAAACCAACAATTTTTTTCTTCAGGGTTCTTGAGTAGTAAGGATTGGAAAGCTCATAGTTCCCCACTTAGTCAACCTCAGCCATAAATAAATATTTTGTGCAAATCGGATCAGCTAGTTTTAATAAAATAACTGAAATTTAATCGTTGCTGGATCAACATACAGACCTTGGTCCTCTATGTATAGAAGTCAGCCTCTCAGTTCTTTTTGCGTGCAATAATGAGAATGTAGCATGCGTTATCACATAGATATCAATACAGGAATTGGCTAAACGCCCTGAAAGCGAAAGCATGTAGCTTAAAGATGAAATTTGAGTAACTTTATGTAGTTGAATGTAAAAGAAATTGCTTGATTTAGATCAGGAATGTCCCCATTGGACTTTGGCTACGTGACTGAACGGTTCTTGAATTACTGGTTTAAATCAAAAGTGAATAATAGACTGTTTTGTTTATCTCTTTTTTTACAATATTCGAATTGTTGAAAGTGTTAGTAAATATTTAACAGCTTTTCTTTGAAATCGACGTGAATGGTGGCTGAATATTAAGGTAAATATTCCTAAAGCCACCATTCACCGAGATTGAAAAGAATAATTTCTGCAAACATTTGCTTTCAAATTTGTATGTCATAAATAAACTTCGATTTTTGGGCCAAATTTTTCTCGTTAGGAAACGCTGAGTTCACGAAACGGACTGTTCTACGCGAATAAATGGGAGTTGTAAACAATCCATCGATCACAAAACTCAGTTACAGTAAATGGAAAAACGCCGTTTTGATATCGTTCGAAGTCTTTTCTTGCCTAAAAAAAAGTC